GGGGGCAAATAACTGATAATTCGGTTAAACGGCTTATTCGGTTCGGTGTTCAGTTTACACTGAGCAAACTCATCAAATGTGTTGCTTTGCATTATAACACTCCGTTGCATTATATAGCAAAGCTCTGTGCCCCATTTTCGTAGATCAGGGCGATGGGACTAAATTGGACGTTATGGGCGGCTGGGCGCACGAGTCACCAAAAGGCTCGCACAGGTTTTTGGTCTTAATTGTACTACAATTTGCATGGAGTACTAGAATGGGCATGCCCAGCCTCTGGCAAAATTTGGGTAAATTTTATGAATGTCCACAACTACATCATGTACAATGGAAGGGTTTCGGTTTAGGCGGAAGAGTCCATCCCATGCTCACGCCCCTTGGCTCCGTCACTGCCGGGCGGTTGGCTTTGGGGTTGCTCAAACGTCATCTGTAGCAAGGTGATCATAACGACAACTTTCAGGCACACCTGAAAGTTTGACAAGTGACCGAAGAGGTCGAGAGTGGGATTTGCTCCTCCGACGATGGAGAGATATTCTTAGGGCCCTCTCGGTGTGACGGAACCCATCATCGTCTGGCCATACACAAGTGACTATGTCATGGGGATGCCGGAACACGTCAACGAAAAAGAAGAACAAAAATGGCAATGGGAGCAACGGTATAGTGAGCATGCTGATGACTCAGGAGGATACGGATGCACACCAGGTTTTGTAAAGTATCGCAAAGCAAAAGGAACTTCACATGATAACAAAAGGTTTATTCAAATATCATTCATGTAATCATAGGGACCGATATGGATGTCCACGGTTTCGCTATCGGTCATTGAACGAAGGGGTTTTGTTCATGTCTATGGTTTACCGAACCTACAGGGTCACAAGCTTAAGATTATCATGATCTGCTGAGTATTAGTAGGATGGGACTGACAAGAATATATTTGTGGAATTATTTCATGAATATACGGAATAGTTTCGAGAGGTTCCGAAAGCGTTTTGGGGTTACCGGAAGGGTTTTAGTGAATATCAGGTAATACCGGGTATTATCGATACATGTATATATATATATATATATATATATATATATATATATATATATATAAACACTATTCTGAT